ATATCAAAAGAGTTTGAGCTTATCAAAACTCTCTATCCTACGGCTATAAATAGGAGCTCTCATTTCTATGTAATCACACACATCCTAGGAAAAGTGATGTAAACATCTAGAAAAATATTATTCAGGATCACAATAAAAATGTGATACTGAAAGTAGAAGTCTCTCCTCCATAATGATCATGCCTATGCCTATTGATCCAAACCTCCATTGAAGATCAAGCCATTTGAACCCGGAGGCCCTTCAAGAAGAACAAGCTATATATTCAAGCCCTTCTTTGAAGATCAAGCCACTTGAAACCCGGAGGCCCTTCAATGGTGGAGTGTTCAAGGCACCAATTGAAGAATCAGAGGATATCCAGAGACATGTACCCACACCGCATTGATATTTGACATGTAATTCAGGATTCTGAATTTCTAAATATATATTCAATTTTCTTTGTTTACAGTGACATTGATAATTATCATATTATAGAGGGACAGTTTTTACAATTTTCTCTTATATATAACATTCCATAGATCGAATACTTTTGGTTGCCCATAGATTTTAATCACTTGGTGGAGAATAGGAAGCCAAATGGAATATCAGCGATTCCCAATCGGTTAAGGTCGTCGACGATGCCAATCCCGGTGAAGATATAAGTGTTAGCTGCTGAGTCGCTAACCTTGATACTAAACGTAGATGGTTCAAAGCCGGCCACTATGATGTCTTGGTCTAGCTTCCACTTGGTCGGGCAGGGGTCGACCGGGTTAGTCTCGTAAAACTCTATGTTTATTGGGTCAGATTCATAGACGACCCCTGTAGGGTCATCGAGTGGGTGAAAAATTATGGGGCGGAGTATGGCTGGCGGCTGTGGCGGGTATGTGATTATGCTCAAATTTAGGTATACGTCGGTTGGGCAAGAGCCAACATTTTTGAAATTGGTTACGCTTATGCCGCTTTCCGAACCTAATTTACTCTCGCGAGCATAGTATATGGTCCCGCCAACAACGGGGTTGCCTTCGGTGTCTATCACCGGAGAGGCTGCCTTAGTTGGGAGGCGGATGAACGGAGGTGAAGTTGAGATGGTGAGTGGGAGGACACAAATTGAGAGCAAGAGAAAGAAAACGGTCTTCATTTTGAGGGAGCTTATATTAGGGCACAATACAATACAATAGACAATAAGATTTTTGGATTTGCTTTAGTTTGGTGTTTCAATTCGGAAGGGACACACAAATTTATAGACTGAGCAGACCAATCAAATTCATTCATGCATAATAGTATAATATATAGTAATGCCTGCACGCACCTAAAACGTGCATGCAAATATCATTTAAATAATAGTTAAACCATGACAGAAATTAATATTATTTGATTAACACATTATCCTCTGCCGCCCATGCGAAAAATATAATTCATCTGTACTTTAAAAGTTAAAACTTATAATGAAGTTATTATTATATTGGTCATTTTGTAATATAAATTTGAATGTGTTCACTTTCAATTTGATTTTAATTTAGTCAAAGTGAATTTGAATTTTTCTAACTTAGAAGTTGAATTTGATATCTTATACGTTAAAAAATAGTGAATAAGAAGATATTGATTCTCAAAGTTTACCTATTGTATTCGAAAAATTGGAGTTATTTGTGAAGGCTTTTAAATAGTCTTTAATTTGTTCCACATTAGAAAACCATTTGGGTTTGCACTACTATAAATATTGATGGGCCTTAAGGGTACGTCTATAAGTGTAGTATAAAAGGCGGGGAGTGTCTCTTTTAGACCATCATCATCCGTTCTTCTTCACTCTTAATTAACCTCTCCCTTAATCAACAATGCAGTACGTTAGTTGTTTTTGTGCATGGTCCGCTAATTTAAGACTATATATATATATATATATATATATATATATATATATATATATATATATATATATATAATCCAGTTCCCGTGCGGTTGGACGTCTCTTGTGCGGTTAAATCTGAGTTAATATTACTTAAATCAACGTCCATGATTAATAATTTTTTTTAAAAAAAATACAGTGACAATTTTGTAATTTTTGCATCTAGGTCAAATTTGAGGTGTGATTTTCCTTCCTAAGATGCGTGGTTTTTGTGCTTAAGGTGCGTGGGTTGTGTACTTAATGTATTGTGAGTAGTTGTTGAAACTTAAGGTGCATGGATTGTGTGCTTAATGTGAGTAGTTCTTGAAACTTAAGGTGCGTGGATTGTGTGATTAATGTGAGTAGTTGTTGAAACTTAAGGTGCGTGGATTGTGTGATTAATGTGCGTAGTTGTTGAAACTTAAGGTGCGTGGGTTTTGTGCTTAAGGTGCGTGGATTAATATGTGTTTAATATGTGTTTAATATGAGTAGTTGTTGAAATTAAGGTGCGTGATTTTTGTACTTAAGGTGCGTGCAGTGCATGTGTTGTACGTGTACTTAATGTGAGTAATTGTTGAAACTTAAGGTGCGTGGATTTTGTGATAAAGAAATGTAACAATATATATATATATATATATATATATATATATATATATATATATACACACACACACACTCACACACAAATGAAGATTACCTTTAGATAACCTATTTCAAGTTCGCATAATTTTGGGCATGCTCGCAGCAGATGTATGAATGTAGAATTATTTATATCATTTGGTATATGTAACTTGAGGATTTCAATGTTTAGTGCAGGGGCATGTCCCACTGTAGTAGAAAGTACTTTAATAAAGACCATAAAAATCAAGAGAAACATAATACATATTATAAAAATATTCCTAAAAAACATTTTATAAAAAACAGTAGTAAGTTCCTAAAAAACATTTTATAAAAATATAATTAAACACAAAACACATTTTATAAAAAAGCAAATATAATTAAACAAAAAAAGAGTCAAATTTACCTCAAAACAACAATCAAAGCACATAAAATAAGACATGATATAGATCTCAAGTCCAAGTTAGTCGTCGGCAGAACATCAAATTCTTCACTACAATTACAAGATGGGATGGTCTTCAAACTACCAAGTTTTGGTGCAAGAATGTGAAAATCAAATATGTTTCCAGAATAACAAAATGAGAGATCCTCTAGCATGGGAAGATAAATAACATAATCCGAATAATCTCCACACAAAAAGTCAACATATTCAAGATAAAGTGATGTCAGATTTGGAAGTTCATAGACATCTACTTGTTCAACACGGACCTCAGAAAGTTTCAATCTCTTCAATGTTGGGCAAGAAAATATGCAATTCGACACCAAGTATCCTGAATTTTCGGGACAAGAAATGTCAATTTCGTTAACACCATTCTGGGTGAGAAGAAGAAGCCACTGATTCAAGTTGTTTTTCAACAAATTCGCTATATCATCATTTCAGAAATCCAATATATCTCCATAGAAATTGAAGATAACATTGTGAATACGTCCATTGTGCCGCATGAAAATATTGTTGACTACTCCAGAAATAGGAAATTCCAAAGCCTCATCGGAATATTTAAGACATAAGTAATCAAAGAAATCACTGTCAAAACTCAAAACAAAGTTTTGTCAGACTAAACCAGATATCCTTCTAGATGGAAGATAAAATTGCAACTCTGGCAGCATCTCGAATGGGCAAAAATCCCATAATATTGTCAAGTATACCGGCGGGGAGTTCACTAATTCTATCATTTTCTGCCATAATTACAATGACTCACAAGCAAAAACTGGAAAAATAAAAATCAGAATATAGCTCTATAAAATCTTGAAAAAAAAAAAGAAATCAGAGAATAATATGAATATTCGAAACAAACCTTTCAAGAAGGAGATGAGAGGATTATCGCACCAATTCTGCTTAAAAAAAAAACGCACGAATCTGCGGCATTTAAAGAAATCCCAAGGGGGTTATCAAACAAAAAATTCAAGGAACGTGACTTTTAGAATCCCAAGGGATGTACCTTTTAGGTTCCTTGCACATCTCAAAAACAAGTCACAGTGCTCTGCAATGTCGAAGCCATCGTCGCTGCAGGACAGAGGAGGAGAGGGGTAGACCACCGTCGAAGCCATCGCCGCTGCTTTGCCCTGCTCGCCAGAAAAACAAGGGTCGCCAGAGAGGGTCGTCGCTGCTGCTCGTCGCCACTGCTCAACCGTAGCCGCAGCAACAGTTCGCCGGAGAGGCGAACCTCTCTCGCGACCTTTCCAGGGTCTCGTCCGGCCTATACAACGTGATTGCCGTCCTCAATTTGGTGATCGAACGTCAGCAGAGGCTTCTCGCAATCGGACCCAAATTTCATCGCTCAAAACTTCCCCGATGGAGTTGTTGCATGGAAGATCAGATGGTGTGGATGGTGTCGGATATGTCCAAAGAACGTTCGCCGCTGGTCAGATCATCGATCGGCGGTCTCTGGATCTTCCGGAGGTCGTTGCGCAGTGGGCCAATTTCTAGCAAACAGAGGTTGCTGACAAAGAAGGGGCTCATGCTTAGCTTCCTGGCGTTTTAGGTTGTTCTGTCGCAGTCCGTGGATGCCGTTGGTAGCCGAGGCTCATGCTTGGCTTTGCAAATGGAGACTACGGTCTCAGCCGTTGCTCAAACTGGTGTTGGCCATCCAGACGGAGGATCTTCGCAACTTTCTGATTGCCTAGGGTGTTCGATTGCCCAATGGCGGCGGCGGGTAGCTTTAGATATAGGAATTGTATTTTGAGTACCGATCTGAAAACTCTAGGAGTTCTCGTTTCCTGACGATTTCGCTTTAAAATTGAAATTATAAATTTTAATTTATGTTATAGATATGGATATAGATTATACTTTTTAGAATAATAAATAAATAAATAAATAATTTTTTTGGATCAACCATATTGTTAGCTTGATGAAAACTAGAGTTCCACAGTTCACACAAGCCAGCCAATTTGAAATTTCATTCGGGCCAGATGCTCCATTCCATATCACAGTTACACACATTTTTGATTAGCCCCCAAAAAATGCCACATCACGGTTGCATTACACCCTAAAAAAATTTAACAGTTCAACAATAAAGAACGGGGTGTTCTAATAAATATCAGCATCAAACTCGTCAAATTCATGGACGCAGTGTGTAGCGAATAATGGAAAACTTGGTAAGCCGAAGAAGTCGAAGTCGAAGTCAAAGTCAAAGTCAAAGTCAAAGTCAAAGTTTTCGAAATCAAGATTATCTAACGCAAAGAATTCGTTGACGGCGGCAGCTTCGTTTGGGATGAAGTCACTCTGCACAGGGCTATCGAACGGAGTGAAATCGTCGTAACGGAGGACGGAGGCGGGGGACAGAGCCGCGTTCCTTGAGGTGAGCGAGGTATCGACGGCCGTCTCGGTTACCGTTTTTTTCGGGAAGTTGGTGACGGCGTTAGGGCCTTTTAGTCTCACGGAGGCGTTGTCGTACAGAGTGGCGGCTTCTTTCCGGCTGTCATAGGTGCCGAGCCAGAGGCGTTTCCCCCGTGCGGGGACGCGAATCTCCACCACCCAACGCCCCCTCGGCCGTTTACGCACTCCTTTGAACTTCCGGCTGCAGGCGTCAAACGGCGGCGTCGGCACAAACTTGATCCCCCACATGTGCCTCTTCACCCTCCTCCACATCCCCACCGCCCTCTCCCCTTCATCGTCGGAGGAGTCCGTGGCGTTGCCCTCAGTGACCACGATCCGTAGAACTCTGTTCCAAAGCATCCCCTATCCCGAACTACCCTCACGAATCGACGGAAACAATACTACTGACGATGAGTTGACATGAAGGATGAGATAATATACATCTCTCTAGAACTGTACATAGAAAAAAAAAAACAAATCTATGGTGTAGGCCGTAGGGTGAGTAAAACTGAGAAGTGCTAGTTTCAAAAAAAAAAAAAAAAAAAAAAAAAAAAAAAAGCGAACTGAGATGTAGGTATTGTTATAGGGAAGAGAAAAAGGGTAAGTGCAAGAGTTTTACTTTTTTGCTGTTTTAGGGGGAAAACATAACATTATGAATTATGATACCAAGTAGAATTAATTTTATTAAAAATTAAAAATGTGAATATTATAATATTTTATATTATTTAAAATTTATTTATGTTATTATTAGGGCAACCCCAATAGGGGTTTATTCCTAATTTTAGAACACTACAGTTACAAGATGTGATGATCTTCAAACTACCAAGTTTTGGTGCAACAATGTGAAAATAAAATATGTTTTCAGAATAACAAAATGAGGGATCCTCTAGCATGGGAAGACAAATAACATAATCCGAATAATCTCCAGACAAAAAGTCAACATATTCAAGATAAAGTGATGTCAGATTTGGAAGTTCATAGACATCTACTAGTTCAACACGGACTTCATAAATTTTCAATCTCTTCAATGTTGGGCAAGAAAATATGCAATTCGACACCAGGTATCCCGAATTTTCGAGACAAGAAATGTCAATTTCTTCAACACCATTCTGGGTGAGAAGAAGAAACCACTGATTCAAGTTATTTTTCAACAAATTAGCTATATCATCATTTGAAAAATCCAATATATCTCCACAGAAATTGAAGATAACTTTGTGAATACGTCCATTGTGCCGCAAGAAAATGTTGTTGACTACTCCAGAAATAGGAAATTCCAATGCCTCATCGGAATATTTAAGACATAAGTAATCAAAGAAATCACTGTCAAAACAAGGTTTTGTCAGACTAAACCAGATATCCTTCCAAATGGAAGATAAAATTGCAACTCTGGCAGCATCTCAAATGGGCAAAAATCCCATAATATTGTCAAGTATACCAGCAGGGTGTTCACTAATTCTATCTTTTTCTGCCATAATTCCAATGACTCACAAGCAAAAACTGAAAAAAAATCAGAATATTGCTCAATAAAATCTTGAAAAAAAATACAAAATCAGAGAATAATATGAATATTCGAAACAAACATTTCAAGAAGGAGATGAGAGGATTAACGCACCAATTCTGCTATAAAAAATGCACCAATTTTGTGGCATTTAAAGAAATCCCAAGGGGGTTATCAAAAAAAAATCAAAGGGGCGTGACTTTTAGAATCCGAAGTGATGTAAATTTTATGTTCCTTGCACCCATCTCAAAAACAAGTCACAATGCTCTACAATGTCACAGTGCTCTGCAATGTCGAAGCCATCGCCGCTACCGGACAGAGGAGGAGAGGGGTAGACCACCGTCGAAGCCATCGTCGTTGCTCTACCCTGCTCGCCGGAAAAACAAGGGTCGCCAGAGAAGGTCGTCGCTGCTGCTTGTCGCCAATGCTCAGCCGCGGCCGCCGCAACAGTTCGCCGGAGAGGCGAACCTCTCTCGCGACCTTTCCAGGGTCTCGTCCGGCCTATACAACGTGATCGTCGTCCTCAATTTGGTGATCGAACGTCAGCAGAGGCTTCTCGCAATAGGATTCAAATTTCATCGCTCAAAGCTTCCCCGATGGAGTCGTTGCATGGAGGATCAGATATTGTGGATGGTGTCGGATATGTCCAAAGAACGTTCGCCGCTGGTCAGATCGTCGATCGGCGGTCACTGGATCTTCCGGAGGTCGTTGCGCAGTGGGCCAATTTCCAGCAAACAGAGGTCGCTGACAAAGAAGGGGCTCATGCTTGGCTTCCTGGCGTTTTAGATTGTTCCGTCGCAATTCATGGATGCCGTTGGTAGCCGAGGCTCATGCTTAGCTTCACAAATGGAGACTACGGTCTCAGCCGCTGCACAGACTGGTGTTGGCCACCCAGACGGAGGATCTTCGCAACTTTCTGATTGCCTAGGGAGTTCGATTGCCCAGTGGTGGCGGCTGGTAGCTTTAGATATAGGAATTGGATTTTGAGTACCGATCTGGAAACTCTAGGAGTTCTCGTTTCCTGACGATTTCACTTTGAAATTGAATTATAAATTTTAATTTATGTTATAAACACGGATATAGACTATACTTTTTAGAATAATAAATAAATAAATTAATAATTTTTTTGAATCAACCATACTGTTAGCTTGGTGAAAACTAGAGTTCCACAATTCACACAAGCCAGCCAATTTGAAATTTCATTCGGATCAGATGTTCTATTCCATATCACAGATACACACATATCATGATTAGTCCCCAAAAAGTGCCACATCACTGTTGCATTACACCCTAAAAAAATTCAACAGTTCAACAATAAAGAACGGGGTGTTCTAATAAATTTCAGCATCAAACTCGTCAAATTCATGGACGCAGTGTGTTGTGAATAATAGAAAACTTGGTAAGCCGAAGAAGTCGAAGTCAAAGTCAAAGTTTCCGATATCCAGATTATCTAACGCCATGAATTCGTTGACGGCGGCAGCTTCGTTTGGGATGAAGTCACTATGCACAGGGCTATCGAACGGAGTGAAGTCGTCGTAACAGAGGACGGTGGTGGGGGACAGAGCCGCGTTGCTTGAGGTGAGCGAGGTATCGACGGTCGTCTCGGTTACCGTTTTTTTCGGGAAGTTGGTGACGGCGTCAGGGCCTTTTAGTCACACGGAGGCGTTGTCGTACACGGCAGCGGCTTCTTCCAGGCTGTCATAGTTGCCGAGCCAGAGGCGTTTCCCCCGGGTGGGGTCGCGAATCTCCATCGCCCAACGCCCCCTCGGCCGCTTAAGCACTCCTCTGAACTTTCGGCAGCAGGCGTTAAACGGCAGCGTCGACACAAACTTGATCCCCCACATGTGCCACTTCACCCTCCTCCACATCCTCACCGCCCTCTCCCCTTCATCATCGGAGGAGTCCGTGGCGTCGCAGTCAGTGACCACGATCAGTAGAACTCTGTTCCAGAGCATCCACTATCTCGAACTACCCTCAAGAGTTGACTTGAAGGATGACATAATATACATCCCTCTAGAACTGTACATAGAAAAAAAAAAAAACAAAATCTATGGCATAGGCCGTAGTGTGAGTAGAACTGAGAAGTGCTGGCTTCAAAAAAAAAAAAAAAAAAAAAAGCGAACTGAGATGTAGGTATTGTTATAGGGAAGAGAAAAAGGGTAAGTGCAAGAGTTTTACTTTATTTGCTGTTTTGGGGGGAAAACATAACATTATGAATTATGATACCAAGTAGAATTAATTTTATTAAAATTTAAAAATGTGAGTATTATACGTAGTAATATTTAATATTTTTTAAAATTTAATTATGTTATTATTATGGCAACCCCAATAGGGGGTTTATTCTTAATTTTAGAACACTACAATTACAAGATGGGATGATCTTCAAACTACCAAATTTTTGTGTAACAATGTGAAAAATCAAATATGTTTTCAGAATAACAAAATGAGAGATCCTCTAGCATGGGAAGATAAACAACATAATCCGAAATATCTCCAGACAAAAAGTCAACAAATTCAAGATAAAGTGATGTCAGATTTGGAAGTTCATAGACATCTACTAGTTCAACATGGACTTCAGAAAGTTTCAATCTCTTCAATGTTGGGCAAGAAAATATGCAATTCGACACCAGATATCCCGAATTTTCGGGACAAGAAATGTCAATTTCTTCAACACCATTCTGGGTGAGAAGAAGAAACCACTGATTCAAGTTGTTTTTCAACAAATTATCTATATCATAATTTGAGAAATCCAATATATCTCCATAGAAATTAAAGATAACTTTGTGAATACGTCTATTGTGCCACATGAAAATGTTGTTGACTACTCCAAAAATATGAAATTCCAAAGCCTCATCGGAATATTTAAGACATAAGTAATTAAAGAAATCACTGTCAAAATAAAGTTTTGTCAGACTAAACTAGATTTCCTTCTAGTTGGAAGATAAAATTGCAACTCTGACAGCATCTCGAATGGGCAAAAATCCCATAATATTGTCAAGTATACCGGCAGGGAGTTCACTAATTCTACCTTTTTCTTCCATAATTCCAATGACTCACAAGCAAAAACTGAAAAAAAAAATCAGAATATAGCTCCATAATTCCAATTACTCACAATCGAACCCAGATTTCATCGCTCAAAGCTTCCCCGATGGAGTCGTTGCATGGAGGATCAGATGGTGTGAATGGTGTCGGATATGTCCAAAGAACGTTCGCCGATGGTCAGATCGTCGATCGGCGGTCGCCGAATCTTCCAGAGGTGGTTTCGCAGTGGGCAAATTTCCAGCAATCAGATTTCGCTGACAAAGAAGGGGTTCATGCTTGGCTTCCTGGCGTTTTATGTTGTTCCGTCGCAGTCCATGGATGCCGTTGGTAGCCAAGGCTTATGCTTGGCTTCGCAAATGGAGACTACGGACTCAGCCGCTGCTCAGACTGGTATTGGCCACCCAGACGGAGGATCATCGCAACTTTCTAATTTCCTAGGGAGTTCGATTGCCCAGTGGCGGCGGCGGGTAGCTTTAGATATAGGAATTGTATTTTGAGTACCGATCTGGAAACTCTAGTAGTTCTCATTTCCTGACGATTTCGTTTTAAAATTAAAATTATAAATTTTAATTTATGTTATAGATATGGATATAGATTATACTTTTTAGAATAATAAATAATTAATTAATTAATTTTTTTGGATCAACCATGTTGTTAGCTTGATGAAAACTAGAGTTCCACAGTTCACACAAGCCAGCCAATTTGAAATTTCATTCGGACCAGATGCTCCATTCCATATCACAGTTAGAGACATTTCTTGATTAGCCCCCAAAAAATGCTACATCACGGTTGCATTACTCCCTAAAAAAATTTAACAGTTCAACAATAAAGAACGGGGTGTTCTAATAAATTTCAGCATCAAACTCGTCAAATTCATGGACGCAGTGTGTTGAGAATAATGGAAAACTTGGTAAGTCGAAGTCGAAGTCAAAGTCAAAGTTTCCGAAATCCATATTATCTAACGCCATGAATTCGTAGACGGCGGCAGCTTCGTTTGGGATGAAGTCACTCTGCACAGGGCTATCGAACGTAGTGAAGTCTTCGTAACGGAGGACGGAGGTGTGGGACAGAGCCGCGTTGCTTGAGGTGAGCGAGGTATTGACGGTCGTCTCGGTTACCATTTTTTTCCAAAAGTTGGTGACGGCGTCAGGGCCTTTTAGTCTCACGGAGGCGTTGTCGTACACGGCGGTGGCTTCTTCCGGGCTGTCATAGGTGCCGAGCCAGAGGCGTTTCCCCCAGGTGGGGTCGCAAATATCCACCGCCCAACGCCCCCTCGGCCGCTTACGCCCTACTTTGAACTTCCGACTGCAGGCATCAAACGGCAGCATCGGCACAAACTTGATCCCCCACATGTGCCTCTTCACCCTCCTCCACATCCCCACCGCCCTCTCCCCTTCATCGTCGGAGGAGTCCATGGCGTCGCCGTCAGTGACCACGATCCATAGAACTCTGTTCCGGAGCATCCCCTATCCTGAACTACCCTCAAGAATCGATTAAAACAATACTACTGACGATGAGTTGACTTGAAGGATGAGATAATATACATCCCTCTAGAACTGTACATTGAAAAAAAAAAATCTATGGCGTAGGCCGTATGGTGAGTAGAACTGAGAAGTGCTGGTTTCAAAAAAAAAAGAAAAAAAAAAAAAAAAAAAAAAACAAACTGAGAGGTAGGTATTGCTATAGGGAAGAGAAAAAGGGTAAGTGCAAGAGTTTTACTTTTTTTGCTGTTTTGGGGGGAAAACATAACATTATGAATTATGATATCAAGTAGAATTAATTTTATTAAAAATTAAAAATGTGAGTATTATAATATTTAATATTTTTTAAAACTTAATTATGTTATTATTATGGCAACCCCAGTAGGGGGTTTAATCCTAATTTTAGAACACTACAATTACAAGATGGGATGGTCTTCGAACTACCAAGTTTTGGTGCAACAATGTGAAAATCAAATATGTTTCCAGAATAACAAAATGAGAGATCCTCTGGCATGCGAAGATAAACAACATAATCCGAATAATCTCCACACAAAAAGTCAACATATTCAAGATAAAGTGATATCACATTTGGAAGTTCATAGACATCTACTAGTTCAACACGGACTTTAGAAAGTTTCAATATCTTCAATGTTGGGCAAGAAAAAAAAGCAATTTGACACCAGGTATCCCGAATTTTCGGGACAAGAAATGTCAATTACTTCAACACCATTCTGGGTGAGAAGAAGAAGCCACTGATTCAAGTTGTTTTCCAACAAATTAGCTATATCATCATTTGCGAAATCCAATATATCTCCACAGAAATTGAAGATAACTTTGTGAATACGTCCATTGTGCCGCAAGAAAATGTTATTGACTACTCCAGAAATAAGAAATTCCAAACCCTCATCGGAATATTTAAGACATAAGTAATCAAAGAAATCACTGTCAAAACAAAGTTTTGTCAGACCAAACCAGATATCCTTCCAGATGGAAGATAAAATTGCAACTCTGACAGCATCTCGAATGGGAAAAAAATCCCATAATATTGCCAAGTATACCGGCAGGGAGTTCACTAATTCTATCTTATTCGACCATAATTCCGATGACTCACAAGCAAAAACTGAAAAAAAAAATCAGAATATAGCTCTATAATATTATGAAAAAAAAAAGAAATCATAGAATAATATAAATATTCGAAACAAACCTTTCAGGAAGGAGATAAGAGGATTAACGCACCAATTCTGCTTTAAAAAAAACGCACCAATTCTGTGGCATTTAAAGAAATCCCAAGGGGGTTATCAAAAAAAAATCCAAGGGACGTGACTTTTAGAATCCCAAGGGATGTAACTTTTAGGTTTCTTGCACATCTCAAAAACAAGTCACAGTGCTCTACAATGTCGAAGCCATCGCCACTGCCGGACAGAGGAGGAGAGGGGTAGACCACCGTCGAAGCCATCGCCGCTGCTCAGCCCTGCTCGCCGGAAAAACATGGGTCGCCAGAGACGGTCGTCGCTGCTGCTCGTCGCAACTGTTCAGCCGCGGACGCCGAAACAGTTCGCCGGAGAGGCGAACCTCTCTCGCGACCTTTCCAGGGTCTCGTCCGCCCTATACAACGTGATTGCCGTCCTCAATTTGGTGATCGAACGTCAGCAGAGGCATCTCGCAATCGGACCAAGATTTCATCGCTCAAAGCTTCCCCGATGGAATCGTTCCATGGAGGATTAGATGATGTGGATGGTGTTGGATATGTCCAAAGAACGTTCGCCGCTGGTCAGATCGTCGATCGGCGGTCGACGGATCTTCTACAGGTCACTAACAAAGATGGGGCTCATGCCTGGCTTCCTGACGTTTTGGGTTGTTCCGTCGTAGTCCGTGGATGCCGTTGGTAGCCGAGAATCATGCTTGGCTTCGCAAATGGAGACTTCGGTCTAAACCGCTGGTCAAACTGGTGTTGGCCACCCAGACGGAGGATCTTCGCAACTTTCTGATTGCCTAGGGCGTTCGATTTCCCAGAGGTGGCGGCGGGTAGCTTTAGATATAGGAATTGTATTTTGAGTACCGATCTGAAAACTCTAGTAGCTCTCGTTTCCTGACGATTTTGCTTAAAAATTGAAATTATAAATTTTAATTTATGTTATAGATATGGATATAGATTATAATTTTTAGAATAATAATTAAATAAATAAATATTTTTTTTGGATCAACCATACTGTTAGCTTGATGAAAACTAGAGTTCCACAGTTCACACAAGCCAGCCAATTTGAAATTTCATTCGGACCAGATGCTCCATTCCATATCACAGTTACACACATTTCTTGATTAGCCCCCAAAAAATGCCACATCACGGTTGCATTACACCCTAAAAAAATTTAACAGTTCAACAATAAAGAACGGGGTGTTCTAATAAATTTCAGCCTCAAACTCGTCAAATT